AAACGGCGAAATCATCCTCTCCTGCAGGGGTTCATTGGTAGACTTGAATGTGCTGAGTGCTCTGCACTGCCCCTCCTTGATGGAATAGCGCCCATTACCTTTTCACTTGGGAAATGTAACTCTTCCCACACAGGCTAAGCCATTCAAGAGAATCAAAGTAATTACTACGTGGATGGTACTTAATGAGGTGTAGAAATCTGTATGAGGTTGGTAGAAGTGCTTGCGGTGTGTCCCCAAGTCCCAAATCTGAATCTCCCGGGGTGCTATGGCACGGCAGGTGGTGTTGACCTGAACGTCGCGTTGGCATGAAAGACTCACAAGAGCGAGAGAGCTGAAGAGCCCGCACCATAGATGGGAATCACGTGCTTCTCCAACAACACGTAAATGTCTCCATGGCCTCTTTGACGACGATGGGAACCGGCATCTGATGAGCAATCTGACTGATGGAACGTTTGAATGTCAGTGTAAAACGGTCCAGAAAAAGCGAAGGTCCAACTGGCTTTTTTCCAGGGAAATCTTTAAAATTCCTTCAATAAATCACATGAGGTTTTATGTTTATTTTACTAAAAAATGGGATCAACAGCTGGCCTTGTCGACTGATCAGGGCAGTGGGGCAGGTATATCGGTTGGAGCACGCTATTTCTCAAGGCGTTGTTTTGTAGTATGAACCTACGAACAAATTCAGATATCTGTCCCTTTCTAACCTTTAAATAGCAGCATATAGTTAATTAGAATGCATATAACAATTCCAGTTGTCCGTGTGTAATAATAAACTATAGTGAATTTTTTATTTCACGAAATATCGAGGGGGGGGGGGACGGTGATGCTCAAAGGAGCGGTTCGCTTCCGTTTTGCACGTGCCCTGGAAAGTTTTTATACTCAAGCAAAAAAGGAAGAATCAAAGGCTAACCATATCCATTGGACAGGTAAAAGCAGAGAGTCGTAGCGAAGATATTGATTGGAGCGCGTTATTTTTCAAAACGCTGCCTTGAAGTATGAACCGGCGAACTTGATCTATGCTGTCGCAATCGCGACAGTAGCATTATAGCGAGAATGGAGTTGTTAATGCGCACTTGAAGGTAATGCCCCCCTCCCCCCTTAGTTTCCTGAATCGCTCCTCAAAGGTTTATACCGCATTTAAGGCTCTCCTTCAGAAACCCACGGTGTTACCTGCCCCTCATATGGCACAGTTCGGATTAAAAGAACGCGTGTTCATTGAACGGTTGGCAATCGACCTATAGAGGCCTGGTATAGGAATCGGAAACCAATCGAACTGCAGGGTCTGATTTTGTGTGATCGCCCACAAAAAAAGTTCCCTTGATGGCTTCTGGTTCACGGCCCTTCCAACAGATTCCTCGTTCATCTAACTTTCGTTGGTTACGTGACCCTGATTACCTCACCGGGTTCTGACGTCAGCTGTTGACAGGTCGTGCGGTATCCGATAAACAATGCCTCGGATTACGGTATCGTGCCTGAGGTCAGCGTCGTAGCACATTGTGCACAGGTACTCAACATACCGCATCAAGTGCCCCATGCGGTGCTAAATAACCTAATCCAGTCGTTGAATGGGCCGCGGAGCCGATCTTCAGGGCGCTGAAGGGGCTAAATACAGGAGGAAGGGGCTAAAGCGCGATAAATGCGCTAAGGTTGGGGATTGACGTCGATCGTTAACAGTACATGATCTGCCAGCGGTTGGCGTCACTTTGGCCTTGACGCTCGTGGTGCTGCAATGACAAGGTGAGTCGTGGTTATTTTGTTTTTGTTGAATTATGGCGAGCGGTAGACATCCCCGTTTCATCCCCCGTGCATGGGCCGGGGCTAGAATGTACTTGCTTACAGCTGGTGAATTGGCGCAATGATTTGGCGCAAATGGGAGAACTTATAGACAGCTATTGTGTGCGTGTGTGTAGTATGCTGTGCTCTGCGATGAGATAGATCTATTTGGTGGCAATTTTGTCCCGTTCGTACACTGACAATCCTATTCAAAGGTATTGTGTTCTTCTCTCGCCTCATTTATGCACTTTTCCTCGCACACAGTGCCGCCAGCAGCTCACGATCAGTACATATCCGTTTAAGCCCCACTCGATCCCATTTATAAAGTTTCAAAAAGTTGATATAAAATTCCAAAAGTTACGAAATACCTACTAGGTATAAGGTTTGCCAGTGTCATTTGGTGCGGTGTCCGCAAATGCAGAATAGCCTGGAAGCTGATAGAGCGTTCATACTTGGCAGCTGCGCTACTTACGCTTTTTCTTGGCTTTTTCTTCAATGACACATAGCGCTATATTCTAATACTTCAAAAATTTCCAAATATTCGGCTTAGATAGGATGGTTGGGGTACCGATTTCTAACATCCCCAGTGAAGCTCTCCACACTAGTCCATTACACCAGGTCATTTTGTAAAGTCGAGTTCAAATGACGGGCCAATTCATTGCTACTGTCCTATTCTGTAAAGACTCCAAGTTAGCCGAACCACTATTCCCAGAATGCCAAAATTACTTTTTGCGCAAAGATTTGGTCCAGCTTCCCTGGAGCTCTTTGGCTCTTGGGCTTGGGAAATAATTATCCGTGGCTGATAACCGTTTCTTCATATGTTCCAGCACCAGATGTCCGCTATTCAAAAATTTGAGGAAATTGCGCGAAAATAAATTTGCAAAATTTCGTAATTTCATTGGACGATGGGATAAGCTGTGTGGGGGGGGGTGGACTCAGTCTACACATTTGTTGCGCCAGTAGCATCCTGCAGTTTTCAAGGGGAGGGACCTTGGGGATCTGAACTACTCACCATTGTAAAAAGTTGGGTGGCTCACCCTAACCCAGAACTCCCTTTTCCACCTCGAAATCGCAGGGAGCTGTGGCGCGGTCGCGGAATTGCCGGAATAGCCTGGTCCTCAAAGTGGCCTGATATCTGAGGATACATTGTACCGAACGAGCGCCAGTTTTTGTTTCTAGAGTTTATAATAAGGCATCATAGGTCGCATTTGACACCACACTCCTTCATGCATTTTTTTAAATGAACTGCATATTTTATGAGGTCTCTTCAGATCGTTAGGTATAGCTCCGATCATCAGAACTGCCTCTCTTTGCAGCTGTGATAAAGAGCTGCCCGTAACTGTCTTCCAGCTACGTACTGAAATGCATAATATCGTAAAAGCACTTCTATGTAGGTACCGTACCTGGCACTCTTAATTTTTTCCGGTCAGGAACGTACTTACAGTCGTACTGGTGACGTGGCTCCTGCATTTATGGTTTTGCTATGTAAAGTCTTGATAAGATCTGCAAATACTTGAAAAAAAAAACATGTGAATCGTGAATGAAGTGAGGTTTTGCCAGGAGAGGGGTGTTACGGTAGGTGGTCGGGGAGTAATGTGTTGTGAGGTGAGTCCTACCGTTTCCACGAAACTTATTTTCACTAGTTTGTTTTCTGTGTCAATAATGAGGTTTTTTATTGACGGCTACGATCCGCGAAAGTGAGTCCGAACGTGTGATCATGCTGTTTACCTGTTTGTTTTCTATTTACTAGGCGGTGAGGGGGGGGCGGTATCTGCAAAAAGCCCGAATGTTAAAAAATGGTAAAGCTGTAGTCTTTATATTTTGGAATTGGTTAAATATTAATGTGCAGAAAGTTTGGCAAGGAGTTTTTTGGTTATTTCAAAAGACATCAGAATCCCTTCTCTGCATTCTGAATTAGGAAAAGTACTACTTGGTTAACTGTTTTGCATTCTCTCGGGGGCGGGGGAGGGGTCTTTTGACTACGAGCTCTATTAGGAGTTGCCTTTCTCCTTAAATTTCACTCCTCGTTCGCTGCTAGCAATTTTTTAAAACTCTTCTGGCACTTCGTTCTCTCGAGGCATTATATTTCAAAAGACCTGAGAGCGCCATTGGTGGGGTTCTCGAACTGCCTTGATACTAATTAGCATGGAAATCACCCGACAAGGTTATTGAGGCTGTACAGTTTGTGGGTAAGCAGGCGCAGGGGCGGGCCAAGAAAGGCTGATGCCGCCCCGCCCCTTGAACCCGTACTGTTGCGCGCACTACCATTCCTAATTCGTGCCACTTCCTCATGTGGCATGGTCAAGGTGCTGAGCCGTGTCTGCACACGGCTATTTTGGCTTACTGTAACCCTCTCAGGCTTTCTTCTTACTTATCCACTATATAAAGTTCATTTCTTCTTTCCCTGCGATACAATAGATGCTCATCCAGATTTTAGCCCCACTTATTGTCATGGGGTTTGCCCTGTCTCGCCTGTTCTCTGAAGTTAACCGTCTTTTGGCATTTCACCTTGAATTGTCTGGGGTCTTATAAGCGAACACTTTAAGTTTTATTCAAGTATATGCTCTTCTTAGTTAACACATTGCATATCCGAACACGTCTTACGCCTTCTGCATTTTCGCATTTTCAAAGAGGAAACTGGAAGATCCCTGTTTATATCTGAGGTTTTGGACACCTTACAGGGCAGTTCGGCGACGGAGGGTGCATTTTGAGTTCTGCTACTTCCTATCGACGTGTCGAGCCATCTAGAGAGCTATTTCATGAGCTTACAAGAGTTGACAGGTTTTACCATGGTGGCTCGACGAGCTTCTTCAGCTTCACAAGGGTTTACAGGTTCCACAAGAGAAACTTGTAAACCAGAACTAATGAAGCTGCGGAAGTGCAAATCCTTCCCCCCCCCCTCGTCGCCGAACTGTGTCCATTTTACAGTTTCTCTTTCCTTGTCGCTTGATTTTGGAAATATAGAGGGTTCCCAAATGTCTCCTACTTCTCTCAGCAGCATGTTTTGCTAAGCGCTTCCTGTAGAGATTGCGTGATTAGTCAGAAAAGCCGAAAATGTCGAAGCGCATCTCATCTAGTACGAGATTAGCGACAGGAGAGGAGTACGATCGGAGGCGGGGCCTAATCGCTATGAATCGTTTCAGTCGTGGTGCCGATCGGAGTTGATCTGTTGCTGTGCTGTTGCTGGTGTGTTCGTGACGACGACGTGACGAAAAGGAGCAATGCTGATGACAACTGCTGACGAACTAGCATCGTCACTTCGTTGTGCCGAATTCCTTGCCGATTCACCGTCTACGTCCACGTTACTCCATCATCACCATGTCGGTACCGTGACAACGACGACGACAACGACGACCATCACCAACAATCTGCATCACAATGAACATCGACGTCGTTCTGGCCGAGTCGTACTTCAGCCAGTCAATCAACGACGTTTGAGTCATGGACAGGTATTACTAGATTCTTATGAAATTCATATTTTGGGCGCAGAAATTCATACTCTCAGCTACGGTGGGAGGGCATTTTGCTCTTTTGCTACTTCTCACCGACATGTCGAGCCATCTAGAGAGCTATTTCATGAGCTTACAAGAGTTGACAGGTTTTACCATGGTGGCTCGACGAGCTTGCTCCAGCTTCACAAGAGTTCACAGGTTTCGCCAGAGTGAGACCCGATGGAAAGCAACAAAAGTGCAAAATGCCCCCCCCCCGTCGCCGAACTGCACCCTAAATTGTTCTGAAGTTCATATTTTGTTCCATAACCGGTGAAAGTGCCGAAAATCCTTTATTCGCTTGGTATTCCTTTTCCCATTGACCTGCTGCCTACTAGTTCTGGTGACCTTACACCTTACTTCGCTAACCTGGCTGCACCGCTGGGGTCGCCTGGCCTGTTTGAGGGATCGACCTCACCCGATTTCCACAGCAGCCCAATAGAAACACATATAGCTCATATTTGTGTTGTTGGTTTACCATGAGATGCCTTTACCACAGTTTTACCTCGTTTTGCATCTTTTTCCGCTGCTGCGCTATCGGCTCAGGGCACGTCCAAGGTTTCTCTTTGTTCGTGGCGCGTACTCCGCGACTTACATCATATGCGCGCCAGATGTTGCCTTGCTGTGTGTGTCATCTCTGTTTCTTTATGTTATGACTCGTAGCACACGTTACCTAGTTGTAATTGTGTTCACCAGAGGGGATGACCCATTGCTACTTGTGCTGCTGCTGTCACTAGGTTGACCCGTGGTGCTGGGAGTCCCACCGTTCCTTTTTGCTCTTGGTCTTTTTGAACAGCTTGTGAGGAATTTCTCATCGTGGCCCACTAGTTTTTCTATGCAGTCGTAGAGCCGCTGCTGCACTTTGCTGACCCGCCTCCTACTCGCCATCACCGCACTATCGCTGATGTCGTTGGCAGCGGCAAAAAACGAGCAGTGATGCAGAGATGATGATCAGACAAGTTGATTGAGGAATGATCGTTCAAGTAATGGCATGTGCTCTTCGACGATCGAGCTAAGATGACCTCTGCCAGGTGCGCGTGTGCGCTTATTTGCTGGTCGCTGTTGCTGCTGCTGAGGGCTAGAGCTACCACCACCGCGTTCCACCGGTTCCGACGCTAATTACGCATTGTCAGCCGGCGATCGCCCGTAGATTTTTGACAGTGATACGCCTACTCAGACATTGATTTTGGACCTTGAGAAAGGAAAACTAGCGAAGTTATTTGGGCTTGATATTATCTGCACTAGGCTGTGGTCCAGTGCAAATGGTCTTTTGCCAGTCCAACATCATCAGGACATGTCATGACTTCACGAGGCGTCTCATGTCACACCAATGCCGAGAATATCGCGTTTTACAACATTATCCCATTTTACGCATATTCTTCAACTTTTTCCTCGAATTGGACAGCGCTTGGTGTTCAGGAATATGGATTTTTGCCTAATTCCGCGGAAAAAGGCCTCTGTGTGGGTGGACTAATTCATTTATGCAGAAATGGTTCCGCCTTCTGTGAGAAGCAGCGTATCCAACCCTGAGTTTTCCCTCTCAGGAAAGCCAAATTTTCTCTTCGACACGATCGGCATAGGCAGTTGTGTTGGTGAAAATTTCTGGCTCATTCAAAGAAGAGGGAGCTCTGGGTAGATGAGCTGTTCCTCACAAAATGCGAAAACTCATTTTTGCATAAAGGGATTGGTTCACCCACACTGACGCTTTTTTCCCCGTGGTATTAGGCGAAAATCTAAGTCCCTTAGCTCCGAGAGCTGTCCAGCTCGGGAAAAGAAGTCGAAGGCATTGCGTGAAATGGGAGTATCTTGCAAAACGCAATGATCTCGTTATTGACGCGTCATAGAACGTCCTTCGATGTCGTGACATGTTCCGACATGGCGGACCCTATTATGGGCTAGTCGGTGCCTTGTTAGAAGCCATAGCGAGTCCTATTTTCATCAGTAAAACAGGGGTTAGAGAAAGTATCATTGATTTTTGTTCGTTTGTAAAGAGTGAAATGCTTTTGTTCAGCCAACCGTGGTGTCCCGTAAGCGGCCGTCCACAGTGGACGTACGCTTGAATACAGCCCAACATCCGTCGGTTCCCAGTTGCCTCGATCGTTCTATTCATCGAGATGAACGTGTACTGGAGAATCTACTTATTGCAGAGGTTTGCTTCGCGGTTAATCATTTTCGTTCCATAGCCCTGAATACAATGGGTTTTAGGAAAATCTCAAGTCAAATCATCTGTATTTCACGGCTGTCCAAGAGCATATCGAGCCAATACATCGCGAACAGGCGGTGGAATGGATATTTGATGTGGCAAAGGTAAGTAGGAGGGTTGTAGAGCGGTTCGATTGCAAAAGTGTTCAATAATGAGCTGTGATTTTGTAGGAGGAGAAATGCGACGCAGACGTCTTCCCACTGGCGGTCTCACTCATTGATCGCTTCCTCTCCCTACAAAACATATTCCGGCAAGACATCCAGGTCAGCTGATTTTCGCAATGCCCGTCCGTTAGTTCCTGTAATGCGATCGCCATACTCAGTCCGATAATTATAGGTCTTAGCTGGCGTGTGTTTATTTATCGCTAGCAAGGTGAAGGCGCCACAACCGATGAATGCGGCACGTGTTTCGTACTACACAGCGGATAGCGTGAAAGTTCATGATGTTTTGGTGCGTTCTCGCGGTGAAGTTTGGCGAAGGGGGGACATTTTGCACTTTTGCTGTTTCTGGACGTGTCGACTCATCTAGAGAGCTATTTCGTGAGCTTACAAGAGTTGACAGGTTTTACCATGGTGGCTCGACGAGCTTGCTCCAGCTTCACAAGAGTTCACAGGTTTCACCAGAGTGAGACTTGTAAACCAGAACTAGTGAAGCAACGAAAGTGCAAAATGCCCCCCCCCCGTCGCCGAATAGCTCCTGCATCGCTGATTAATGTCGTCTCAGCATCATAAACGTTGATCATTTCAGAGTTGGGAACTACTTGTACTGGCTCACCTCAATTGGGAGATCACGTCACCGACTGGATTTGATTTCTTCGATCATCTTTCCGCCCGTTTGCCCTCACTGCATACGCTACGGCCAGCGTTCACATCAGTTCTGCACAGGATTCAACGCTGTAAGTACTTTTTTATGGTGTAGCTTTTCGGTAGAACAAAGCTACTCAAAAGGGTGTTCATCTTGCAACATGTGTGATTCCTCTCTCTGCCCTCCTCTTGCCTAATCTGTAAATTGTCGTCGCGGGTATTCTCAAATCGGATCCGCTGTCGCCTTGTCTTTGACAACGTGGGTGGTCTATTGGCGAATAGGCAAAGCTGATCTGCTCTTTCTTAGAAACAGGTCGAGACGATTTGAATTTCCCGAAGTAGCAGTTGAAAAAAGTTCCGTGGCAGAATACGCTTCATTTTGACCTGTATTGAGACTGCCTGAGGCGGAGGTGGTGTAGAGGCGATTGGCACGCTTACCACTCCTACGGTCAGGGGTCAAATCACGGATCGGCTCCCACCAGGTCAAACCAAGCCTCCTTCCTTCCGAGGACGGTAAACTGGTCAGGGCAGCGTCTATGAAGATTCGGGCCAGCGACGGGGGTGGGAGGGGGAGGCGATTGGCGATTTCGCTGCTCTACTAGCTCCTGTTTACAAGTCTCACTCTGGTGAAACCTGTCAATTCTCGTGAAGTTGAAGCAAGCTCGTTGAGCCACCATGGTAAAACCGGCAACTCTTGTAAACCCATGAAGTAGCTCTCAAATGGGCCGAAATACCAATGGGAAGTAGCGAAAGTGCGAAATGCCTCTCCCCCGTGGCCGAGCTGCCCCGAAAAAAGTTCCTGTAGCAGAAGACAGATAGCATTTTGACCTGTATTGAGCCTATCTCTCAGCTGCTTGGTAAACAGCAAGTGTTGAAATACCTTAAAGTCGGCGGTGACCTGCTACGACCACCTGTGGAGCGCGTCGCAATGTGCTGGCGTTATGATGCGAATGATTGGGACAGTGGCATGCACGCGTCCTCGGCCCGTACACCACATGCACATGCCCCATTGCGTCTTTGGTTGGTGTTTGTCGACGATCCTTGGCGACCTGGCACGCCGACGTCCGATTCTGTGACCTCCCATCATGCACAATCGTCGTCATCAACATCAAATGTTGCACTTGGCATCACTGAACCGATGGCCCTCGCGCACTGGGTGAGTCTGCCGTACGACGAACGCACCAACGGCTAAATTCCGTCGATTGTCCTCCATTCAGTTGATCGCTGTTTGGTGCCCGTTAACCGTCTCGTCGTTTGTCCTTTGCGTTGGAATTGGATGAGGTGACTTGAGGTGAACAAGTTGTTGAATCCGTGTCAAACTAGCACGCGTCGATAGTGCCTCATCTGCATCACAATGCCCATCACTACTAGACCACACACATCGCCTCGATATCGCGCCGCGTCTCGCGCATCTACTTTTATGGCCAACTAGAACTCGATCGAACACCATAGGTGGTCCCGAAACGAACGAGAGCATCCACGATGGCTCTGCTGATATCGGCAAAATGTTCTTAATTGATCGGTCGGGTTTAATGGGGAGGTGAAGAAGGCCAGTGGCCGCCTTTGTCTGGATAGTAATGCCCTTTTTCGCGAACTGACTTTTCAGCGTGTTTTGACCGGGGTAAAGTTAGGAGGTTCGCGAGCCTAAGTGCCACAAGCGCAAAGAACTGTTGGTCTAGAGATCAGGATAAAGCCTTCGCCTATGATCAATCCCCATTCTGGGATGAGGCCTGAATTCTACTTTATTCAAAGTCGCATGACTTATTGAATGCGATGTGATCTATCAAGTGACTTGGGAGGGGGGGGGTGGAGGACAGGGTGGTGGGGCAGCCGATGTGCAAGTCAAGGTTTTTTCTCCCAGAAAAAGCTGGTATCGATTCACCGTCCCTGGAGGATAGAAGGCTTGTTTGGCCCGGGAGCCCCGGAGTGGACGGCAATTGTTACGGTATCTTGCTAGGTTCGGTGATCAGGGCACGTCCTGCTGCTAAGAAAAATTTACAGGCAGTACAACCCCCTCCAAAGTCGTCCTCTGCTACGACTCTCCCCTTCACTTCCCCACTCCAACTTTCCTTATCCTCCCTCCTACCACAATTTCCGGAGAATTACAGTTCTTTCACAAAAAATTTACGGTGGGGGGGGGGAGGGAGGGGTATATAGCACATGTGAAACGGGGGAAAAACCGTGAAAGGTCAACAAGTTGAAGAAATTTATTCGCAACGCTGCAGATCTCACAGAGGCAAGTGGGACGCCCTTCTCCCATAAAAATCCTTCCAAAGGTGTAAATAGCGCCCATGAAACAGGAAAAATCAACTATCAAAGAAAATTTTGCATTACAAAATACGACTCTCCTTCCCCAAAAGCCTCCAAATTTGACACCGCCCCCCTCCCCCCCTCCTCCTGAGGGCTGGAGATTCCCAGCGTAAGACGTGCCCTGTCTGTGATTCTTCTGTGATCTGCTCGGGTACATATACACGTTCGAAATCACTTCGGCTTACAGTAACATGTGTTGCTACCGTAGTAGTGTCTATGAAGAAACGATTGTAAATGTAAGACGCGTTTTTTCATTGGCGCTTAGTTTTTTTGACAGTTCGGCTTCTAGCTTACGCGCATTTTTTGACTAGTTTCCGCGCTATCCGAGTTTGGTTGTCGGTTGTGTCGGTGCCGCGAAGCAAAAGGAATCGTGGCCGACCGACGCGTTTTTTCCGACTCGCCCCATTCACTATTTGAGGCACGTTCTCGTGCCTTTTTTGGCACTGTTCGTATGTGTGTGTGATTGTATTTTGGTGAGAATCCAGTACGCTTCATCCTCATGCTAATCTACGTTAATTATAAAAAGGAACGGTAATCGGTCATCAATGTGGACAGGACTGTCAGCGCTTATTCTACTTGTATACAATGGATTTAGGACGCACCACCTGCTCAGAGCGAAGAGGTCGTGATGCTCACGAATAACTGGCAAACGTCATGAGGGTCTGTCGAAGACGTACTGTAGTAATGCGCCTAATTAGAGATCCTATCTGACGTAGTTATTAGGCGTTTACGGTCAGAAAATGCATAGCGCCGCCACACAGCTGTTGCCAGTAACAGTAAGCTGGACGAGGCGTTCAAAACCTGTCGCTTGCATCGCTATACGTTGGATGATACATAATTGCCGACTGGAGCACCGGTAGGATGATGGCCGAAGGTCTTCGTTCTTACGGTGGTTCGTCGTGGTGTCAACGCGGGTAACGATACCGCATTTGAAGAGGCTAAGTCAAGGTGTGACAGGTTGGCACCGACGTCAAACTCTTTTAAAACGGTACGGCACATTACGGTGAACGGAAGAACGAAATTTGCTATCTTTGGGGAATATCTGGGGTTAAGTACTTGTTATTGACGGCCTTCTCAAGTGTACGGACGGCATGGGGATGGGAAGAACTGTCTCACTAAAGCACATTCTATATTCTTCGGAAGGGAGGGGGGGGGGGAAGACATCCAGTCAGGTGGCACGTCCTGGCGTTGGGAAGTACTTCGCTAACCCAGGCATGCGTAAGAAGGAAAAATCAACAAATAGAAAAGAAATTCTCCTTCCCCTTTCAGCGACCAGAAAGATCCTGTTGGGGACTCCAGAGTACGGCTTACCTTGATCTCGTGTACAGGGTAAACTGGTCAGGAGGAGTAGGAGGGTCCATAGCTTGCCAAAATTACAAAAAAAACCCTAAATATCACCAGGCCAAGTATGACCCCTCCTTCCGAAATAAAGGTTCCTGTGAACCTCCCATTGAGGAATCCTCAGCATTAACAGCTTGTGTTGCGAACCAGCGCCCGGGTCGAGCGTGTTTCACAATAAGAATGGTGAACTGAACTAGCGCTGCCTTATAGACTTTCCTTGATCAACGTGAAATTCCTGGGTAAGTATTTAAAACTATTGGGGATTCCCCAACAACGATGTGCCCTAGTTATACAATCGCTACCATTCAGGAGAGATGGGCATGACGTTTTGGGTTATGCCGTCATTCGTTGGTTCGTTTGAAAGTGCTCCATATGCCGCGCAATCGTTGCACAGTGCGACGTCCCGTCTCTGGGAGACATCGTGCAAAAAAGCCTCGAGCCTTCAGCCCCCCCCCGTCATAATTCGTTGGGATGCTTTCAACGATTAAAGACACATAGTACGCTCACACACATTGAGGGTGTATGTGACTAGCAGCCCCCAGCTGTCGAAGCATAGCGGTTTCCCCGTTCAAACATGCGCAGGAATGGAGATACAGGACCGTGAAACACGCTAATTCCTCCATGCTCCGCCCAATGCCTTTTGCGGCGCAGATTCCCGTCCTTCATAACATCCGTCGTAAGCGCGCGTGTCGCGTGCGGCTCCTTGGCTTTCCAAATACAAGTAAAACGCAATTTCCTGATGCGGAACATTGGAGGTGCTGCAAAATAAGAACAGAAGATGATGACGAGGGTCAGAACTTAAAAGCAACTGTGCCACTTCTGCAACATCCCTCGGAGGCCGCGTATTTCCACGAAACATGAAAATAAAAACGGCATACTCGTTAGTTTAATACAAGCAAAACGCAATTTCCTGATGCGAATAAAATTTTAGGTGTTGCTCATGCTTCAAAATCCATGTACAAGGAGATGAAGATGACACAGGCTAGAAATGAAGCACAACGATGTAAATGTAAACAAAACAAAAATGAAAAAATCAAGGAAAGGCAAATTAGATAAACTGGCCTGTAAATTTCTACGATCCGGCGCCAAAGCCATAGAAATACTTAGAACAAACGAGTGGGACGCTTGGGCTGTTTTTATTTTCATGTTTTGTGGGAATGCGCGGCCTCTGATGGATACTGCAGATGCAGCCGAGTTGCTCTTGAGTTCTGGCCCTCGTCATCATCTTCTGTTCTTATTTTGTAGCACCTCCAATGTTATCCGCATCAGGAAATTGCGTTTTACTTGTATTTGAGCGCAATTAAAGGACTTGGCAAAGTGCCAAGGAGCCGCACGCGACACGCGCGCTTACGACGGATGTTATGAAGGACGGGAATCTGCGCCGCAAAAAGGTGTAAGGCGGAGCATGGAGGAATTAGCGTGTTTCACGGTCCTGTATCTCCATTCCTGGGCATGTTTGGGCGGGGGGACCACGACACATCGACAGCTGGGGGCTGATAGTCTCATACACCCTCAATGTGAGCGTACCATGTGTCTTTGAGAAACCATGAGAAAAATCCCTTCCAATAACATTTTTTTTTCGACTGAAACTAAATCCATTTTGATGTCAAACATATTAAAAGTAGGCGTAATGGAAAAGCACACTGGCCTGGTCAGCGGGAGAAGCGCGTCCAAGTCTCGCCTGGGATCTGACTTTTCCCACAATTCAGCGCTCTTATGACAACTTTCGGAGCGCGAACTGTGGCGTTGAAGGGCGGTTATCATACTGAAGCAGCATCCAAACACTTTATGAATAGGTGATCAAAAGACCCATCAATGTTTGGAAAGTATTATAATTCTCGCCATGTACGACTACGGTTCTACTATAATACTGTGCACAGTCCATTGACCTACTGTCAAATGCACATTAATTATCTGTTACAATTCACACATGTCATAATAACAAGAATGTTGCGTGTAAATGGTAGTGACGTAACAAAACCTATTTGATAAGGTTTTTTTTGAAAACGGAACGGCACTTGAACTCGATGCAGATTTATTGTCGCAGACACTAGTAGTTTTTGATGAGGACTACGACGAGGGGAAGCGCAGTTCAGAAGGTACAATATCAGGTCAGCTCTCTCAGTTCAGCAGCTACAGTCTTTTCCTCTCGAGGCCTGATATCCCTGCATTTCAGCCCACCTGGCCTTCCCTCATTCTGTATGCCTCGGTTTTCACACATTCGCATGGATCAGTGCTGCAGTAACTGTTGGAATTGTGCTATCACTGGCAGTAGCAATTATTCAGTATAAAAGCATTTCACCCTAACTTGTGGCTGCTTCCACTCCTATTTTCTGGAGCTACCGAAGCTCTCTGACTTCTGCAAGTCTCCTTTTTTATCAGATGGCTACGACACGTGATGAATGTTGTCGACGGAGGGTAGCCCGGATGCACCAGCTGTCCACAAGTGGTATGGTACAGTCCCATGCCCACTTGTTGTAGCGTGAGAGGTGCTGTCTGCTAGCAGCCTAGCTAAGGTGGGCAGATGATTCATCAGAATTT